CGTAACCACGTAAACCTACTTAATTGGTTTATTTACGAGCTTTACTTACGCGGTTACGAGGCATTTATGCGTTTAGATGAACACGCCTGACAGGACGCTAAGGTATCGTCTGCAAAAAATGGGATTCTCTGGGGAGGCGAACAGGTTTTGCGAGCAGGAAATGGAAACTTTTTTCACAAAACCTGCATTTAGACTCCTCAGTATGCCCAATTTTTTGCAGACGGTACCTCAGCGTCCTGTCAGGTCTCTGGCGAGAGTTTTTAAACCCTCTCTACTAAGCTTTAGCATCCACTCAGATATTCCACGGAATTGGTAAACTTTTAGATTGCCTTGGGGTTGCAGCTTGAGAGGCATCTCATCTCCGTGGGAGCTTTGCCGCTTATCCTTCGGACTGACCACAGAAAGGCTCAGAGCCGATCAGGCTCCGTTGAGCGCCAAATTCCAGCCCTTCCATTGCTATCGAAGACCTCATGGCCTGGAACAGACCACAAGGTAACTGCGCTACTTATTACTAGTTTTTCTAATACCATTTTACAACTATCTACCAGCTTTGATGTTTATTGTTGCCCAATTACCTATTGCCTATGTACTAGCTTTGATGTTTATTGTTGCCCCATTAGTCTGTCTACGAAAACATTCGCGAATATTTTCGCCTGAAATATGGTTGGGTATATGTCTAACGGAACACCTTTTTTAAATCTAGGTCCATATACGCCGGCCCCAGTGTTCCCATCCTCAAGTTTAAATCCATCAGAGTAACAAACTTGAAATCCTTCGCTGGATATGGGGATTGTCATTTTACAGGTGTCCCTTTTAGGTAATATCACCTTGTAGAGCTTTTTTCCATCAGTTTATTGAGCTTGAGGCCGTTTCTAATGATACGTGTTGTCGAAAATCAGCAATAAATTACACAGACTTCGCCATCGGGTTTACTGGGACTTGAACTCGCAACTCCGGCGTCCAAAGCCAGTTGTCTTACCCACTAAGCTAAGTTCGCCATGTAAACTGTTGTTGCTTTTATAAGGTCAACGTCGGTAGCTTTGACTCTGTGAGTTTGGGTACAGGATCTCCGCCCATACTCTGAATATAAATTGTCAACTCTCTTCAGCGGCACTTGAATAGCTAATTTGCCAAGTCGACAGCTGCAGAAGCTTTGTTGTTTATCAGTAGTGAAATTGATATTAAAATTTCAGCAAAGTATGGTGGAGGCACAGCGGCACCGTGGTAGTCGATTGGGGGTTCGGCTTCATTTATTTCGGCAATATTTACATACATATTGAGTACGCCGGGATCGAGTCTGGATAAATAGGAGTTCTACTATCTGTAATATCCAGATGGTTATTATGCCGGGTTACTTGAGGCAGCTGAAGCTATTGCTTTGCTATGTTTGCTTGATTGAATTCCGAATACGGCATTCACAGACCGAGGAGACTAACACTTGGCATCGCGGTGATGGTCGTTAACTATCTCCTCTGTACAGCGTCCGATTCAGTGGTTGTTATGTATAGTGCTGGAGCTCGTCTGTGATTTTATAGAGATACCTTCTGACGTACCTAGGAAGGGGTTCTGCTTCCAAGAAGTAGGTCTATGGTAGCACCCGACCAGGAAATACATACAAGGCACACAATTTTCTCTCTTTTAAGGGTCATCCGCGCCTCGATATGCAAATGATGTTCTGACGAATCAGAAAGCAACGCATATCTTTCCAGAGCACTGTTTTGTGACATCTCTGTAGCTTGGTGGACTGTGTCCTACTAGTTCCTGGTGGCGAAATTTCGGTTGTTATGCGGAGGAAGAGAGTCGGCTGCTGTCAAATGTAACAAAACTAAATTGTTTGAACTCTTTCTTCCATGTGACAGAAATGGTTTCTCATGACTTCGTACAGGAAAGGATTATGTTCTTTGCGGTGAAGAAAATAGCTATATCGGACTGATCACCCCGTTAGGTTATCTGCTTAATTTTTCTGATAATTCGCCGTCCACCATTTGAGTTCCTGTGAGTGTAAAGTTACCGCAATATCTTCTGTAGTAGTGGCGGTGTCCAACGCTATTGGGACGGTTCTCTGGCGGAGGCGTTTATGGTGAAGGTCGCGAGTTATCATGTGACGCGTGCAGTACAGAAGTCTAAATATCTAAAGGGTCTTCGCTATTGGGGAAATAAGTGTTTGTTGTTGATAGGAATATCCTTAGTTGACGGATTTAATCGTTGGATCACCTCCACGATTTTCACAAATCAGGAATAACACACGGACACACGGCAGGGGCCAACCACCTCACCAAGGTCAAAACCTATCGATTACCATTCTCGTTGTTTCTCATTTGTCAGGTGGTGCCACTATTTAAGCCGGGAAACCCGTCAACAAAGCGGATTCCTATCAACAGCAAACATTTCTTTACCCAATAGCGAAGACCCTTTAGGGTACTGCACGCGCCACCTGATAACTCGTCAAGATTAACGGTTTTGAAGACTTCACCTTCACGGCGGCCACGCGAACCTAGACACTGGCGAAAGCAAGAAACGCCATTATTTTTTGGTAATTTGTAGACCTTGTTGGTTAATAGAAATTTGGCCTTGTTTACCGAAGGATGCAACTTAAATTATCCGCTGAAGTAGCGTATCGCTTTGGACTCTACAAGCTGCAATCGCCGAATGCAATCTCAACTCTATCATCGCACTTCGTCGGGTTACACAGGATCTTTTGAGTTGACCAAAGTTCATAACAGTAGTTAGTCTTGCCACTTTTTCAGCTTTTGTAGGTTGACCAGTTCTCGGATGCTTACTATGGAACTCGCTAAGATCAACACGGCGACGATGGTCACGGTTTTCGCCAGGCGGAATGGACGTGCTCCAATTAGTCAATTGGTGTGTAAAGGGCGACGAATGTGCTCTCGTTAACTTCCGCAAAGCCATTTGAATCAGTTGGCGCCAAATGGCTCGCGGGCTCTTTTTTTCTATGGTTTCACTACATTTTCAGTTCAGTCGATGGAAAATATCAACAAAATTTCATAAGAAGTCTTCAAAAATTGTCAATCTTATCTTAGGTATAACTTAAAGTTAGAAAATATATAATTTCGTAAATATTCTATTTGCGCGCTTGATTAAAAAATACTCACTTATATTTTGAACACCAGACCACTGGGCAATCGTCATTGCTTCATTCGCATATAACATCCACGACAGGAATTGTGTCCAGTAAAAGGCCATAGGCAAAGTGCTGTAAGTAAATTAGACGAATACGCATACATGCATACATATGAACATGTTTACGTTCATCAGCGGTAATTATCTCTTATAATCTTATAATGTAGATGTGTATGTATGTAAGCTAACGACGAGTAACTAACCTAATTTTAATGAAAATTCCAGATGTAATCATGAAAATGTAATCAACAGGTACCAAATATGCCATAGCCAATGGCACAGAATTGAATGCTGTGGAAAAGAAGCAACCGCAGGCAGTAGCCACATTCATAACCAAAACGATAGAGATAGCCGTTATGCTGAATGCAAAAAATGTTGGCCGCAAGCCAGTTATCCAATAACAGATTATAACGAAAAGTAATGGTTCAATGATCATGCCAGGCAACTGAAAAATTGATTATTGATTAACCAAAGGAATGCGTATAATTTGTCTGCAATTTTTATATTTTATATGCTAATAAAAATGGAACTCTAAAACAGTTTGACAGATTAGAATATGCTTTTTTTTTGATAATACCCAGATGACAACAAAAAAAATTAAATTTGAAAATTTTAAGAAAATATTTTTTAAGAGGGCTGCCATTTTTTTAAATAAATATAATTTAATTGATAACTTAAATTACATATTACAATTGGATATCAAACTAAAGAGGCTTAAGAAAGTTTATTGGCTAAAAAATTTCTGTAGAGGGTTGCCACTTGTATGAAAAATTGTATTCTATTAAATTTATAAAATAAATAAAATATTACTATATTGGTGTCAAACAAAGCAGATTTAAGGATAGTTTACTGTCGAAAATATTTTTGGGGCGAGTTGCCACCTTTTTGAAAAATTTAACTCAATTAAATGATAAGCTAAATATTTCTATGTGGGTATCAGACGAAAGGTTTTGGCGTAATCTTTGAGTTATAAATATCTTCAACTAGCAAATACCCAGCGTGCTTCGCAGCGCCCTCAAAGCATTTTTTTAACTCTCTCTGACTGCACCCAAAACTCTTGGTTCTTACTGTAGTATTTGTAGAGTACTTAGGCAAGTTTTTTTCAAATTATAACTATACAAACAAATTTGAATTCAGCTTTTTATGGAACATAAATATGCGGTCTTTGAATTTTTTTGCGCTCAGTATCAAAAGCGACAAATATTGAAACAATACATCTTTGAGGAAAGTGCGCGATATGTAAACTCGAGTTACAAGATTATGAATTAAATTTCCAGGAGAAAGTCGATACTTTGCCCACTTTATAAATAGCTTCGAAACTATATTTTACCAGATTTCCTGCATCCGTTCTGCTGAGTTTATGAAATTTCAGTGTGCTACATTACGTGAAAGAAAATTTTAAAATTTTCCTAACCCCGTTTAAAATATTTTCAAGGTAAAACTTTGAATTTGAGTTTGTAAACAGGTGGCAACCCTCCTAGTGTATTTTCAAACTACCTATTTCGCCTGACGTCTATATTTGTATACAAATTTCAATTACCTAATTCCATTAATTCAAGTAAATTTTGAGTTTTCCAATGGATGGCAATCCTCCTACATCTATTTTAGAGATAAACCATTTTCAAAACCATTTCGATTGATACCTATATTGTAATAATTCATTTAAGTTAATTGAATTTTATATTTAAACAGGTGGTAGCTCTTGTAAAACACCCCAATAATATTCCAAATGTTAAAACTAAAAGTTTAGTTTTTCATATAGCTTCAGAATAAATAATTTAAATTTGACTTTTCAAATAAGTGGCAACTCAGTTCAAAACATTACCAAACTACAACTTTTTAAGGCTCTTTCATTTGACACCCATACTGTAATACATATTTCAAATATATAATTCCCTTTACTAAAGTTGAATTTGATTTTTTAAACAGGTGGCAGCCCTCCTTCAGGAATATGGAATTGATTTTTAACCGACTTCAAAAACGGAGGAGGTTATCAATTCGCAATTTTTTTATATGTATGTTACCGCATAACTTTGGACCACGTCAACCGATTTCGAAAATTCTTTTTCTCTCTTTTGATCTCCCATGGTCCCACCCATACTAATTTGGTTTAGATCCGATCATTGGGCGTTAAATGATTTCTAAATTGGAAATTTGTATGAAAATCTTCTTTTCTAAAGCTTTTTAAGTTTAATGTCTTTTTTATCAATGATGCCAAAAGCGTTTTGTGTGATAGGAAAAACACAAAAATACTTTTAATGCGCAGCGAAGCACACCGGGTATTTGTGATTTAGTACTTAAGCAAACCAAAATGCTACGGATTATATTCAGTGTACATGAAGCTATGTATATTGGATCATTACTTACCATCGCCAATATATTGGCCACATAATACTGTGCCGTCGAATACATGCCAGAGCGAGTTTCGCGCAAGAATAGCGGGAACCCTTGCGGGAATACATTCAACACCGAATACATGGGATGATAGGTGTTCTCGGAAATCATTACAAATAGTGCACCTTGTACCGCTTGCACACCCAATTGCGAGAGCGATGTAGTGCCAGCAAAACAAGCGCCAATTATAATAGCCATGGCCATTTTTTGGAAGAATCGCATGCGCTGCACTGTCGGATCACGCAGCATTGAGAGCGAAGCGCGATACCAAATCACATGGAATTTCTTATACCATGCTGGCGAACGAAACGAATCTATCTCCGAATCGAATGGGTAGTCACCCGTCTGCGCCATATGAATCTCCAGATTAACCAACATATCACGCTGTTTGGCGGCACCACTGACCGCAAACATATCGCATAAATGTTGCGCCGAACGCTGTGAAGCCTGCTCGTAGCCGGGATCTGTGGCCAGTACGCCAATCAAGAAGTCAGCCGGATTATAAGCCTCCGGACAGTGATAGCCATTTTCGGCGAAAAAGTTGAGCGCATTATGTGGTGAACCGGTAAAAGCGACACGCCCATCCGCCAGCAGCAAAACATTATTGAACATATCGAAGAGTTGACTGGATGGCTGATGAATGGTGCATAGTATGGTGGTGCCTTTCTTGGCCAACTCGTAGAGTGTTTGCACCAATTGTTGCGCGCTAAACGAATCTAGTCCGGTCGTGGGTTCGTCACAGAATAAAATGACCGGATCGTTGAGTAATTCAACGGCGAATGCGAGCCGTTTACGTTCACCACCCGAACACATCTTTTTGTCATCGCCAGAGCCGATACGCGTGTGCGCAGCTGATAGCAAACCGGTGCGCTCTAATAGATCATTTATGATGGCCTTCCGTTCGCGATGACTAACACGGCGATCTAAGCGAAGATGTGCCTGAAATGTATGTATGTATGTATGAGTAGAAATGAGAGTACATATATCACTTAGCAAAAACTCACCATGAATGTCAAGTGTTCCAGTACTGTTAAAGTGCCAATGAATAAATCATCTTGGTACACATATCCGCTTATGCGATGCATAAATGGACCAATGCGACGGCCATTTATCAGAATATCACCCTGAACAATGGTGCCGGCTAAAGATAATGCAAATGGCATAAAGTGAAATACGTGCGGAAATAAATGAATAAACTATTAAATGTTGCTTGTCTTATCTAAGCTATTAAAATTTAAGAGGCGTTGAGCATACGCATAGAAAAGTGGTAAGTACCAAATATTAGGGATGCTCTTATTTTCAATTACGTACTTTAATTTAAATTGTATCTTTTTGTTATTTTACAAATAAAGGATTTTGATGGAAGTTTGTATTTTGAATAAGAATATGGATGTGAATCTGGGTTTTGTTGATTTTTTGGAAAATTCGATTTAAGCATCCTAATTGTGGGCAGTATTGTCGTTATAAAGCGCATCTATAAAGAATTTCAAGCGTTATATACAAAACTCTTGGAGAAATCTTGCCGAGCGATGCCGAGCGAAACAAGTCGAAGCGGGGCGAAGCTGCTGGTGTTCACACTAAACGACGCGGAACGAAGTCTTTTGCATTAATTCGGTAGCAAAGAAATATTTATTGCATTTAATGGACAAGACAAGGCGGTACCGGCAGCCAAAAACCGAGAAACTACACTTCCAGATTATAGGCACGATGACAATCACAACAAAAAAAAAATACAACAAACCACCTTGCCTTGGGACAAGATGTACTCAAAAATAAATTTTCATTTAAAAATTTTGAAATTTCGTTCGTGATGTGGCTGCAAATATAATAGAAAAGTCAAAGTCGATAACCGTTTTGCAATCGACACCGAAATGCTTCTAAAAAAGCTTGCTGTATGACAGCTTCACTCGGCTTGGCTTCGGTTTCTGTGCGAACGCACCCTTACAAGGCCTAAGCTGACACTTTTCAGGGCATATTTCTTAAGAGCAAGGACCAGCTATAGTTTTCTGTTTCCTATGCAGATATTTTTTAAGTTTATGAAATCATTTCTTAATGAAATAAATATAAAACTCCAGCAGATTTTCAAATAAATTCGGAGTGTGCCCGTGACATCGATGTGGCGGAACTTCTCATCTTGGTGTTTTAAAAAACCATCATGAGTAGTTAGATTTTAAAGTTTTCCAGGCTGTCCAAAAGACACCACAACCGTATTTCGGTTTGAAGCGAGACCACAGCACCTTCACCTATTGCCTCCGCTTTCTCCTTCTTCTTCTTCTTCTTCTTCTATTTTTCGATCGTAAGACTCTGTTTCTGTTTAGGAGACTTAAACCTTCTTTTTAATACTAAAAATTCTTTTGGTCACCCAAAAACTACAAAAACTGCAAAGATGGGACCCATTAAAAATGTTTAAAGTTAAAAAATGTTGAAATAAAAAATTGGGTATTGTTATTGGAAGACTCCTGAAAACAAACAGTGTTTTCCGATCGAAAAATATAGATTTTCCAAAATTCCAAAAATATATATTTTTTAAAATACGTGTACTTTCTTATTCCCATTAGAAAATGCTAAGTGGTGAGAGCTAAACATTTTAAACTTTTCTTCGGATCACCTTAATGTACATAGTTTACTAACCTGGTTGCCGGAAAGCGAGAGTAGACATCAGTGTTGTTTTACCCGAGCCACTGTCAATGTAAATTAAATAAATACTTTATAAATAAATTGTATTAAAATAACAAACTTGGAATTCGTTGACCTGCATTCATAATACGTTTTCACTGCATACATGCATACACAACTACATACATACAAATGCAAATAGATATATTGCACTACAAAAAGTAAAAAAAAAACTTTATTTATTTCCATGCACATCTGCCTCCACTGGGAGTCACTCGACATTGGAGATTGCTTAGCAACAACTGCTCTACATAGAATTCCTGCTGCGGGCTGCTGTGGCACTGAATATTTGTAATGCGCTTGTTTTATTTATTTATTTTTTGTTGTTTTGATGCATCACTTAGGTTTTCAGGTAATTAATTTTTATGATGTTTTTAAATGGTTTTGATATTTACTTACTTATCTAAAACTTTTTTTTTTGATAAAACTTATGTCTGTGTATATGTAAATGTACATACATTAATATGCAGCAGGTACAATGTATACATCACTTTTTATCTCTTTGCTTCAGGAAAAAAGTTTATGTACATACATAAATATGTGCGCTCTAATTGTGGGACAGGTATGTATGGAAATAATTTTGTGAGTTTTGGTGATAAGAACTAGTTTAAAATTAAATTTTCAACAGATCTGTCTTTTAAATAGATTCATATGTATTTTTTTTTAATTTCAAAACATTTTGCAATTAATTCAATTCTAGCCGTGATTTGCTAACTTCACTGCAAAATCACATTAAATCTTTTCCGGTTTACATACTTAGGTGCAATGACTTGCTGCTTATTCATTTGATGTTTTGCTTCTTAACCAGAAGCCCTATAATAAAAACGGTAATCTGAAACTTGACCGCATTTTTGCAACGAAGTCACAGTTAGTAATAGGGAAGAAATTGTGCAAAGTCAAGAAACTCATTCACAGAAACGCAGTAATAACGGTTAATGAAGTGTACAAGTAGGTGTGCAAGCAGGTTTACGCAAGTACATACATACATACATATATTTTCGTGTAAATCCGTGCATACAGAATCATAAAGCACATATACATATATTCATATCCATATATACATATATATTAGGGTGGTCAAAAAAAAAGTAAAGTGGGGTTTTTAAGACGTGCACCTCCTAGGATTGCTATACGCGAAAAAATTTTTTTAATAATAAAAATTCTCCGTGTATTTTATATGGACAAAAAAAAATTGTAGAAATGGTATAGTACTCTTGAGAGTCATTATTTTTCGATCGGTAAAATCTTAAGGAAATTTCCAATAATAAAGTCCATTTGTTTAATTGGCCGTTTTTTAATATTATCGATTTTGTATGGGTCCCCCCATTGTATTTTTCTTGTTTGGGCTTTTTGGGGAACCTATTAAAAAATTATTAAATAAACAATTGGGCATTATTACTGGAAGTCTTCTGAAGAGAAGCAGAGTTTTCAAATCGAAAAATATGGTATTTTAACAATTGTGTACCATTTCTACGAAAAATTGTTTTTTTTCCATATATAATACACATTAAAACTGAGCGCTTTGAGCGACCTCTAAATATTTTTTGATTTTAAAATAAAAAAGCAGGGGTATAGTTTTTCAGCATAGATCAATCCTACTTAAATTAGTTTGAACCACCCAAGGGCGGGCTATTGAAGAAGACATACTGAGACTTTTAGCTATCTTAACCTTCTGTACCTGTGTTTGCGAGTGAACTTATTTTAAAAGGCTGGACTGATTTTAATAAAATTGCGGAACTTTGTTGTGCGTTTTTCTAACACTAATACATAAACGTATCCGTTCAGTGTTTTTTCTTCTTCCCATTGCTCTTCCAATTCTAAAGCGCATCACTAAGGTGTGTTTTTATAGTTTTTCAATTTAAGGCGAAGCATATGTGTGCTCAAATCATACATAGTAGGTTTTAGGCTCAAGTCTCTGCAGCAAACTTGGTCTTATAAACTACATAGATATCCACAGATATATTTTTATCCATTTTGTAATAAATTTTTGTTATCGATATTTTTATCCATTTTCTAATCGATTTTTGTTATCGATTATTTATCGATTTTGTTAACAATTTAGCTATCGATTTTGTTATAAATTTTTTATCGATTATTTATCGTTTTTGTTATCGATATTTTTATCGATTTTGTTTTCGCTTATTTATCGATTTTGTTATCTATATTGTTATGGATTTTCTAATCGAACCAATATTATTATCGATTTTGCTATCGAAATTTTTATTAATTTTGTTATCGATATTTTTATCGGTTTTGTTATCGATATTTCTTTGGATGTTACTATCGATTTTGTTATCGATAGAGTATAAAGATAAAAATTAAGATAAAGGAAAACAGAATAAAATAAAAGTAATTAGAAGACAAAAAAAAATATAACCTTAAGCAAAGTATGACAAAGTATGACAAAATAGATGTGTAACGTAAGTTTTACTTCTCCAGTGTGGTCCAGGCACACTTAATTTCTTTTTATTTCAGAAAACTAACTCAAACAATAACGAATTCATAAAAGTATTAACGAATTCTGTTTTCTGTATTCTGTGCAGTTCTTATTTTTAAATGGGTCTTTCTTCAAGTATATAGTAACAACTAGGCTTTTTGAGTGACATTCCTTAATCTACGTATTTCTGAAATGAAAGATTGGTTTGGTCTTATCTCGGCAACTTTAGGTTTAATGGATGCTTTGTCGTTGATCTGGTCTATTTGATGAGAAATTCACCTTTTTCACTTCAGATTTCTTTTATCTCTTATTTGGTTCCCCTCTGAGTAAACAATTTTTGTGTTTTCCTTTTCGCTTTCTTGTTTACACAATATCATACCTATATACTTATGTATATACATACATAAGTGTACGTAAATAGGCATAAATACCCTAGCAGCTTTCTTCACTTGAATGATTTGCTAGAATCTCAACCGCAATGAAGTTATTACTAAAAAAAAACAAGTAGCTAAAACAACTCTTGGCCGACCAGCGAGATTACAAATAAAATTACACTTTATCTCTGCACGAGCCAAGATAAAAGCTTTGTATACCTTCCGAATTTAAACTTAGTGAAAATATTAATTTCTGCTGTATAAAAAAAATTTTTTAATTAAATAATTCACTTTCACCAGCAGAAAAATAGCCAACGAATATTTACTCTGCAGAAAAGCGCCTCGACCAAGCAAAAGCCACAAAAAGCAATCTCGATAGGAGTAAAGGCGCGAATTGACGTTGACAAGATAAAGGTCCTTCAACGTTTCAAGCGCACAAGCAAAGACACATACATACATGCACAAACATTAATACTTTTAAACACATTCGCTAAGGCGCACACACCCACACAACACATCCACCCACCTGGAGCCCATTAACGCCATCAGATTGCCCGGCTGCACTGCACCCGTCGAATTGTTAATGATGCGCTTCATTTTGTGCAAGCTGCCACCACCACTCGTCCCATTCGGATCGCCTGTCGTATAGACGCACAGATCACGCCATACCAAGGTAGCGCCTTGCTCGGTGGGTGACCACTTGCTATAGCTGCGCAATGGCAGACTACGTTCCGAACTGTTGCGCGTCGAATCCGTACGTGGCGGTGTGGTGGAAATATCGGTGATAGCAAGACGACTACCGGCACCGTTTATACCACCAGGACTGGCACCAGCACCACTGTCGCCGCTTACGCTGCTGCCTCTGTGTCCATTCGCGGCACTGTTGTAGCTGTTGTTATCCAGGCCATTGACGTTACCACTACCAGGCATTCCTACAACATCCTGCATCTCAATTTGCTCACAAGCATCTAGGCACGCAGTGTTGATGAAGCCAGCGAGTGGCGGATTATCGTTGCGCGTTTGCTCCATCGAAACGAGATTATCCTTTGACATTTTTATTGTTTCCTTAAAGGATTTATTACTCAAATATATTTTTTTCCCCGCTTTCACTCACTTCAGCCAATTTTCACTTTATATTTTAATCTGATTCGAAGCGAAGACCGTTCACGTGTTTGCTGCGTATCGCACGCGGCAAGCAACTGATTCTTAGGTTTCTTCGTTATTGGCTTTGTACCCCATAAAAACAAGCATACGGATATTTTTAATGAAGCTACTAGCAAACTTGTACTACTCATGCAACTGTATCCTAATGTATGTATGTAGTTGTGGTAGAGGTAGTTTGTGTGTCTACTTATTTAGTTAAAGTGTATGCATTGTGGCCAAAGCGGAAACGGTAAACACAAATTGTCTGTCGCCTAATCTGTCTCAGTCGAGAGATACGCATGAACAACGTACTACTTATTTAATTGTAATAAACTTGTCACTTGCACTTGAAATTAGATAAGTATTCGTGTAGATGCCCGCCGGCGTATTAAGATGCGTCGATATAAAATTTCACGCAGATATTTTTGACAGTTTTCTCTTCTAGACAGAATGTCGAACATGAAACAGCGGTCCTAACTTCTAACAGGTGCGCTGCCATCCGCACCCACCAAAGCCATGGAAACATTCCTAAACTTTCCGCCCGCAGACTTTTTTGGGTAGCTACAGGCCAGCTGCAATGCAGTAGGACTAAATGCACTGCCAAAATGGAAAGACACCAGCTCGGTAGCACCAATATTCTAACCAACTACCCCGATACATTTAGGTCCCCAAATATTACAACACCACCGCTGGAGCTCGAGAATAAGTTCTCTACTCATACCCCTTCGAGGAAGAACTGGGAAGACGCTCGGATACTCCACAGTCACCTACACGAATCGCTCTAAAGTAAATCGAAGAGTTGGGAATGGGATATACTCCAAGGACCTCTCATTAAACCTCTGTCTGCCAATCATAACTCGCGACCATAAAAGAGGCTGCACTCTGGCTTATGGAATCTTTCCTTCACCTGCCTTCAGTAACTATACACCCCGATGGTCAAGCAGCTATTAAGTCATTAGATTGCAGTGTAACCTCGCCAATAACTGCGGTAGATTGTAGAAAAGTCCCTAACGATTTGGCTTCAAAGACTACCACCCACATTATGTGAATGCCGGGCCACAGGATCATTCGAGGTAACTGTGCAACGGACGAGCTTGAGAGGAAGCGAATAACCCTGTCTGACGTTAACGCTTCTCACGCGGTCGGCATACCGCTATCTACCTGCAAGACATGCCCCAATACATACTTCGACGAGAAGCAAATAAAAGATGGTCGGAAGAACCCACGTGTGGAACGACTCGACAAATCCGGCCCAGCCTCGACAAGAAAATATCCGACGCATTTATTCGGTAAGGACGCCCTCTACTAAGGCCGGTGTAACACTGCTTAAAAGGATTCTATGCCAGCAGAATGGGCTTCTATCGAAATGGCGCGACGTGGACGAAATCGAGAGTGTGGAACACTACCCATGTCACTGCCCTGCCCTTTCGTGGGCGAGAAGACGCTCATTTCACCACCACCTCTTTGTCTGTCTGGCCGACCTAAGAGAAGCACACATTCATGAATTCTCGTGCTTACCTAACCAACTCGTTCTACTTTTAAGTGGACGGTCTCAATTGGAATCACAACGGGCCCACTGGGTCCAAGTGTGCCTCTCTCCTACGCTGGATGAAGTACAGTTACCGCAATGTTACCGCAGATCCTGTTTTTCATCCAAGCCTGCATGCAAAAGCAGACCTCATGGTGGAACAAGGAAATAAGCCAACAAAAAAAATGAGATCTTCAAGTTTGCGAAACAATCTCTCCTGCACATTGTGGCGCCACGACATGTAAGAAAAAGTATGTAAAAAAATGTCTGCCATATACATACACAGCTGGCAAAAAGTATTGGCACAGCTGTTTTTTTACAATATATGCAAAAATTTTTATTGTAATTTTTTATGAAAACATTCCACAACAAAAAACATAAAAATATAATTTGTAAACGTTGTGCAAAACTCGCGAAAATTCAGCAAATTTTCAATTTTTTTATAAGATATTTTAGAAAATTCAGCAAATTTGCATGCAAGATTTCAACTTTTTAATAAGTTTTTTTAGAATTTGTTTGAGTACACAGATTTGTAACCCAATCAATTTTATTGTAATAAAGTAGAAGTTCTGAGCAGCTACGAATTACCGTTGATTTTCGGCAATTTTTTGTTCACTTCCATTAAAAAAAAATTTTCGAAAATACTTTATATGGAAAAAATGCAAAACACCTTCAACGAAAAAAAAAAAATATTCAAAAATCAATGCGCTTTTTGACTAACTCGAAATTTGCATTTTCTATACTAGAATTTAATTAGCTACAAAACTGCATACTCAAGAAAATTTGAAAAAATTAAAAAGTTAAAAATTTGCGTAAAAATTACTTTAACTTTTCGCGAGTTTTGCACATAGTTTAGAAATTATATATTTGTGTTTTTTGTTGTAGATAAACCATATTTTTATAAAAAAATAGCGGAAAAATATTTGAATAGAAAGTGACGTATATATATGTAAAAAAAAATAAACGGAAAAATAAAGTTGGGTTATTTTTGAGCTAAGCACACTTTTTAATTTTCTTTTTACGAAAGCTGAGGTTTTTTTTTATACAAGGACAGCTATGGTTAAAGATCTAGCACCAAAATTCAAAGTGATATTGTTTGCATCTTATATTTATTTATTTATTTTTAGTTTTAATTTCCTGGTCATTTAATCCTGGTCATTTAAATAGCATCCCTTTTGATCCTCAGTATAGACAGTTTTCCTTTTGTTTGTTTAATATTCATTAATTTTTTATGAAAATGTAGCATATTCTACGTGTGAATTCGATTTAAAAGTTTTATACATTTAAGAAAAAAAACATGCCAGCAAAGGGTGTGCTATCCTAATGGCCTGCAGTGGATAAGTTAATAACACTTTTAAAAAAATTTTGGTTATGCAGTTTTGTAGCCCATGCTATTTTCAAGTGGCTACAAAACACCTTTGATTTTAGAATTTTTTTATTTTTTTGTTGAGAGTGTCATGCATTTTCTTCCATACAAGTATGCTCGACAAATTTTTATGCGGAAGAAAATGGGCAGCAACGTCAACAAACAAAGTAAGCTGTGCAGCTTTCTACCTTAAAATTAAGACTTTTATTTAAAAATGTATCGCATTTGAAAATATTTTAAGTACTTAATTAAGTACAAAAAAAAAAATGTGGGTTAAGCCACTTCTGCTCTCACAGCTTCAACGCTGCTGTCGCAAAGCGCTACAGAACTTTAAACAGAGTAAAGCGACCATTTACATTGGCTCTTAAACTGTTCGTACATATATTCTGTTAAAACCGATGTCGCTGTTAAAGCAATAACTACTGTTATCGCCTCAATTGCTTATAACGTCTGCAATGTACGAGTTTAGTCTTTGCTTATTGTTGACAATTTAAGCTGGCGCTCTTATCGGCGACTGCCCATAATTCCCTTATAAATTAATTTGCTACAAATTATATTTGTATTTGCATTTTGTGCGCTGATTTCTGTTTGCTTACTTTTTTTCTTTTTGGACAATGTAAAATATTAATTAGACATCTATTTATTTGCACTGATTAAAATACTATTATCACTTCTAGCTGTGTGAAACGAACGACTTCAAATGCCGAATGCCGGTATGTAATAAAGTTATTACTTCTTTACAAAGCTTCTTAGAAAATATTGCGCTTGAATTGAAGTTTTTTAGAACAATTCCTCTATTTTTTGTCTTCGCATTTAATTTTAATTCGATTGCAAGGTGTGCATAAATACATATATAAAGTTAAAAAATGTGTTGTAGATTAATATTTGTATGTGAATATTATTCAAAATATACATATGTATATGTACATACATATGATTCCTTGCTTGTTTTTACTACGAGTATAAGATCTACATATTTTATAAAAAAATGTGAACCCAAGACTTTTAAGAATCATTGCATACAGTCAAATATGCTATTGAGTTAAGCAAATAAAACAATCAGCGCTCATGCGCTCTCTTATCAATGACTATCTATAAATTCTACTGCACGTATTTGTATGTAAATGTGAGCAAATATTATACTCTAAAGGGTGTTTTATTAAGGTCTGCTAAACAATTTTTGAACATTTTTTGGATATTTTTTGTCTAAGAGTAACATTTTCATAACCATTTTTGGTTATTGTAAGTATCGAAATCGTTACCAGTCATGCTCACATCTGCGGTATTAGAATACACTTGCAGGAAGGCATGCTTACCATATGTATAAACTTAGAAGGATGACAGAAAGAATACTGAAAAAAAAGCATAACCGTATAGAATATATAGGTCATTCCATACAAAATTAATTGGTTTTTACATTCTCAAATTTTTACAGTGTGCCCATAAAGTTTGAAAACTATTTAGATTGCAAAAAAAAAATCAAACGGTGTATAATTAATAAAAAATATATATTTAAGAATTGCAATTTTTCAATGCAAAAAATTACTTATTTAAATCTACCTCACTTTCTAATGCATAGCCGAGGTAATTACGCACATTTGGATTACTACCTGATTTTCTCCGACAAATAGTTTATTAACTGCAAAAAAATTGGAAAAGGATACTTCTTTTTAAGTTCAAAATTTCGAAATTTATTTTCGAGATTTTCGAATATTATAATGATATAAAAAATAGGTGTATTCTTTCGATAAAGAATGTAAAAAGAAAAATATTTCACACCAAAAAAATATATTGAGGTGGAAATTTTGTATGGAATGACCCATATACAAGGAGGTACCCGCACGATTGAAAACCCACACACAGTTGCTGCTTGCGGGTTCATGGATTCTGGGGCGTCCAACCATCACACAAGTGGAGTGGTTGTGCCTCTTATTTCTTCTTCAAAGAAGGAGCCTAAGCGGAATCATCTGCCAACGACCGCCTACTATGGACCACGGTCCAAGGCGGTTACGTTCATGACAACCTGTGGTCCTCGTGAGAAGCAGTAGTACCCAAATCTGCTGATGGGTGGGTAAATAATTTTCCTCCTTGATGTCTGTTCTTTCGAAATTCGGCCGTCACCCTTGAAAGATTGTTACCGCAGCAGTCAAAAATGCGGCCA